CACATGCAGCTCTTTGGGTATGTTCCGTCTCAAAAGTTTGCCAACCCCTGGTCTAGCGTATGCTCTGAAGATGTCTCCTGATCACTTTCCACCCTGGCTAGGATACTCTGTCATGACGACCCTTCAGTCCTCTGTTTCTCAATGCCCAGAGCCTACAGCTAGCCTTGGGCCACAGGCTGACCTTGTTGCTGGTCTGGAGTGTATGCTTGTCCTCCCTCCTGTCCATGAGAAGAGTAACTTCCCTTGGAGCCAGAGCCGATGGGTCTTGAATGGAGGCAGGCCATGGAATCCTTGACACTTCCTTCCACCACCAGGCCCAGACCAGGTGCTGGGTGGACTCCTTGACTCCAGGAAATGTACAATAGAAAGGAAGAGACAAGCCATTGAAACACACACACAAAAGACAATACAGTAAAAAAACAAACAAACAAAAAAGAAGACTGTGAAATAATGAGTGGGTTACCTAAAGAATACCATAGAAAATCAAAAGATGGCGAGGCCATGGCAGTCAGGAAAGGAAACCCACATCAGGATCAGTTTGAACTGAACTGTGAAGAATGAGTAGGAATCGAGTAGATGGACAACAGCTGGATAATCTAACAGAGAAAGGGAAGGCAGTGGGGTGGGTGGCCGAGAGGCCGGGGGGAGAGCACACGTGAAGACAGACTATAGAAACCTGGAATTAGTGTTCTGGGGATGGGAAGGGGCTCTTGAATCCAGCTTTCTCTCTGCTTGCAAACTTAGGCTCATTCGAATGGGGACGTGGCTATTTAATACCTATGATTCTGCAAACTTTTAGGATAGACTCTTACATCAAACCCAGGAAACAAAAAAAAAGCCAACAATGTTTAAAGAGCAAAGGCATGAATCATAATCGTCAGCTATTTTACAGTTTAAGCTCTTTATGTTTTCAGCTCAAGAAATTACTTGCGTAAGTGCCTAAGTAGTCTTCAGTTGACTTTTAATTAACCTCTTTTGCCATTTCTCATCTAGGGTAATTGAAAAATATTTTTACAGTCCAACAAAAACTTACTTCATACAAGAATTACGCAAATTCAAAAGTCACTTATAATAATCTTTCAAAACATGATGCCTCCTGCTAAATCAAGCCACGTTGTATTTGTCCCTTATCAGTCCTCGTTATCTGGATATCACTCTCTTCTTAATAAGATTCAGACAAAGCCTAGCCTTCCAGGGCAAAAGTGAAAACCCACAGCGATTTAAAAATGATTTGCTCTAATCGGGCCACATCTCATTAGTTGTGGTTCCTTTCTTTTAGATTCTGATGTTTGTAGATGCATTTGTGGGAACATTATTTAAAATGTGCTCCCCCAAGCGGGCCCCTGCCTCTCTCTTCCTGCACAGGATCCTTTGTCTATGCTTCTGAGGCGGAGGAGAGGATTTTCATTTTATTCAGCTTAACCTAAATCTCAATTAAAAAGATAGAGATTATTATTTTTATTTTTTATCCTCCCCTCCTCGCAAAAGAACAAGACAATGCTAGATTGGCCTGAAAACAATTATAGAGGCCACGCCATTCACTTTTCATTTTGATGATAGTAAGTGAAGTCACCTAGCCTCCTTGGCACCCAAAATAATGAGGTTCTTATACATCCCGTGATCACTGGTCACCAAATAGGATTCACTATTGCATCAGTCAGGGTGGGCTAGGTTGTGCTGCTGTGACAAAGAAACTGTACAATCATGGGGGCCTGGCACACCAGAAGCTGGTTTCTTCCATACACAAAGTCCAATGTGGTTTGCCTGGGATGCTTCTCCATCCAGTAGCTCAGGGACCCAAGCTCTCTTCATCTTATAATACAGCCACCTTAACATGTGACTTTTAAGGTCACTTTAGACTGGGAGAGAGAGAGAAGAAACACACTGGCTGGGAACTGCCTCAGCCTAAAAATAACAAGTGTCACTCCGCTTCTGAGTCTTTGGCCAGCGGGAGTCACTTGGCCTCAACCTAACTGCAAAATCGAGTGAGACATGAGGGGGAACACATGGAATATTTGGTAAGCAATAACCACCTCTGCCTGAATTCTGTGATTTGTTACACTTGGTTCCATGCTAGGCCAAGTTCAGAACAGGCACACGGAGAACATGACATGTTCAACACAATGAATTCATTGTGCAGAAGTAACCTGGAGTGTGAAGTATACACGTTCTGGAAGCAGTACACTGACTGCTGGCTTGCCACTTTCCAGCCAGAAGACCTTTGGCAGGCCTCACAGACGCCCTGAGCTTATGTCTTCACCTGTAAAATGCAGAGAATATCAACAGAGCAAGGCAGCTGGGAGGATTAGAAGTAACGACCATAAAGCATCTCAAAAAGGGCCTAACAAATACTACATATTCAAGTTTAAAAGTAGCATTTATTATTATTGTATTTTAGTGATGATAATAAAATGGCAATATCATTATCATCATGCAAAATTATTAAATAGTTACATTTAATTTACCAAAAATAATGAAAACAATTCTGAGATATAAGCATCTCGGAGAGTTCCCAGTTGAGTTCAGAATCAGCTTTGACCCTGCATTTAATTTACTTTTAGCAAAAAAATGTAATATATCATTACCTTTAGAATTTCTCATTTCAGATGAAAAAAAAAAATCAAGCTTTTAGAGTAATTGCAAAATTTTTTTAAGGGACCTCAGTGAAAGCAGAGGGGTGAGTTTCCATGGCAATAGCTGAACAACAAAAGGGAAGGGAAGTAAGGAAGGGGAACATTTAATAAGCACTTATACAATGTTACGCAGTGGGCTTGGTATTTTGCATCCAACATCTAAAACATAGGGAAATGCTATGAGATCAGGGCAATGGGCGGAGTTTTATGGAAGAACAAACAGCCTCACAGGTAGAAAGACTTTGCTCAGATAACCAATTAGAATGTGGCAGAAGGGGAATAATCCCACACCCCACCCTCCTCAACCCCCACCCCGACTTTGCCTGCAGGGCACACCCAGGCTCTCCGCACCATTGAGTTTCCTGCTTCTCATGCTGAATGCCTGAGTTTCCCTGGCCTAATTCTGTGGACGAAAAAGGGGTCACAGGTTAAACCTGACAGGCCCAGGAGACTGAAAATAACCACATAAGATGATCCAAACATAAAAAGTCCTAACTAAAAGTGGGTCATGGCCAGTAGTCACATCCTTGGCCTGTAGCTTCCTTGACAAAGGTCAATCTTTATCTTAAGTGAGCCTGTCTATTGTCTTGTTGCATCTAAGATAACATGCCCTTGGAATGTCAGAGTAACCTCTTTTTTTCCAGATCCCCCAGGAAGCACAATCCGCCACACCAGAGAAGGAAACTACAGAACTCCCCATTGTTGTCTTGTCCCCTGATTACTGTCTCTATGCGCTATAAAAAGCAAACTACTAACTAGCCTGCACCCACCAATGTAAAAGAAGTGCCTGTCCCTCCAGTTTACTTTTTACCCAATCCCAGAGATTTCCCCACTTTACTTTCCTCCACCCCTTTATTCTACAGCCAATGGATTTCCTGTAACCCTCCGCCTTTGATTCTAATGTATAAAATAAATTGCAAAACGGCCATTTTCCAGAGCATTTTCTCCATCGGTTGAGATTTTGCTTCCTGGCAATTGTCAGTTTGGCTCAAATAAACTCTTAAGGGGCCGGCCGAGTGGCTCAGTTGGTTAAGAGCTCGCTCAAGCATTTGAGATCTGAGCAACAGCGGTTCAATGCCCGGCCCGAGCTGAGCAGCTGCTGAGCTGCCAACAGGTGGCAGGATGGCTCAGCTAAAAAAATAAATAAATAAAAATAAAAAATAAAGGAACTCTTAGAAGCTTTCTCTTAGGCTGGATGTTTTTTCGTTGACAACTCCATGCTTTGTTCCCAGCCTTTCTCAGCAGCACAGAAGGCGCCTCTTCTCTTCTGACAAGGGGATACATCTCCTGAGATGCCTTGCCTACTCAGACTTCATCCTTGTAGTAGAAAGCCCGTGATAAAAACGGGGAGCATGATGGGAGAGGGACATCATCATGCCAATCCATCCTTGTAAGGATCAGCTGGGCGGAATTCATCAGTGGCAGCCAAATCCCAGGGGAGCTGGATGAGGAGCAGAACGCTGGCATGGTCTCAAAGGCTCAGCCCACAGATGGCTGATTAAAGGGGAGAAAGAGTCACTGTACAGTGGTGACAAGAAAGAGATGACGTTTGGTGTGATCAGAATTGGCCTGGGCAGTAGGAGCAGACGGGTACCACGTGCCGCTGGCTGGGATGCGCTGAGAAGGCCGCGTCGCCGGGAGGCACAGCCTGAATCTAATCATAAGGAAACGTCTGGTAAACCTGCACTGAAGGAGAGCCTACAACGGGCCTGCATTCTTTAAAATTGTCAGGGGTGGAAAGTCAGAAGGACTGAGCGACCTCCCTGATTTAAGGAGACTGAACAGGCACGGTCACGAAATGGACTAGATCCTGTAAAAAGCAGTATTGGGACAATTCACAAATATGGGATATTGGGAGATAGAGCAAAGTATTATAACAATGTTAAATGTCCTAAATGTAATAGTATTGTGGTTAGAGAGTAGTCTTTTCTTTAATTTTTTTTTCCATTACGCTTGACATTCAAAATTATACTAGTTTTAGGTGTACAGCATAGTGGTTAGGTGTTTATATAATTTACTAAGTGATCCCCCCAATAAGTGTAGTATCCACCTGGCACCATAAATAGTTATTACACGATTATTGACTATACTTACTTTCAAATAGTTTGCAAAACAATCATTTTAGAATTTATAATTTGCACACACATAGGTGTATAGAGATGTATGTATCTATATAGGTATATGCAAATAAATATAAATATATTTAAATTATATATATATATCAATATATCTATCTATATATATACATATATATGTGTGTGTGTATATATATATATATATATATAGAGAGAGAGAGAGAGAGAGAGAGAGAGAGAGAGAGAGAAAGAGAGAGAGAGAGAGAGAGGAGATAAAACAAATGTGGCAAACTGTTAAATATTACTGAACCTGGAAAAAGCATATTCAGAGAAAGAGCCTGTATTTGCAGCAATTCAAAGAGTTTTAAATAAATTGTCTAAACAAATCGAAGTCCCTATTAATAGGGAGAGATTACCGTGTACCCATTGTTTTCTGTGGATCATCGCAGGCAGGCCACCTCAATTCTTTCTAAACCTTATCAATAGCTCTGGATGTGGAAATTGTGTCTTCAATTTCCTGTTTAGATGAGAGGAAATTGAAACAGGCAGCTCACTGCAAGACGTGGCAAGGTCCCGGATCATAATTCAGATAGGTGTCACTTTCTTTCAGGACAAGAAGGGACAGTTCCTGGATGTCAGGTAGGAAGAGGTGAGGCCCCAGGCTTCAGGATCTCACAGCACATCGGGAGGGGGGGTAGAGAAGGAAGATGGACAAGTAACTAGACCATAGTGTGGTGGGCTATGTGCTGTGAAACTCTTCCAACCAGTACTTGTTGAGCACCCACTGGATGCCAGGTGTTATGCTAAGCTAGGAGCAGAGCTGTGGGTGAGGAGGCCAGGCTCCGCCTCTCAGAACTCCACCTGTAGCCCATGTGGCCGACACTGCTAAGCACGAGGCCCTGGAAGCACCCAGGAGAGCGTCTGACCCAGACCAGCAGGTACAGCAGGCTTTTCTGCAAGGGGCTACGGCTCTGTCTGAATGGGTTTTCAGAGGTGGGAGAACCTGTGAAGTCTAGCTCACCCCTGCATTTTAAAGAGCTGGGACATAGGGAACTCAGTAGTTGGTAAATCTGGAAAAAAGCGTAATGAAGATGTTGTCTAGTGTGTGCAGTCTGTGCTATTCCTGGTTGAATGGATGAGTAAATGGATGGGTGAGTAGGTGGGTGAGTGGGTGAGTAAACTCCCACCTGTCAGGGCAATGAGCTCATCGCACCAGTTCTAGCAGCTCAGCCTCCTTGTCATTCTTCCAAGTCACCAGACTGAGCTGGCAAGTCCCAGCAAGGCTCACTGAACCAGCTGTGGGAAGAATTTGGGGGTGGTGTGATGACTAGCCGCAGCCCTGGGGGTTCCTGCTTTCCCTGGCTTCTGGGTTTTGCTTTCAGGTAAGAGAAAATATTAAGAAAAGCCATTCAGATCTATCTCTCTCTTCTCTCTCTCCCCTTCCTCAGTTGCCCAACACTTTTCCAGGCCCCATTTTCACAGAGAACAAAGCTGCCTCCCAAAGCTGTACCTTGGGTTTTGTTCTTCCCAACGCCGTGCAGCCAGCAACCCACGGGCCCTTGTAGGTGAGAAACAAGTGCCCTTCACTCTGTGCAAAGGTCACAGTCACAGACAAATATGCTTTCACTTTTACTCAGTGCTTTCCATTACAGGATCTCGTTTCATTTACAGAGCTGTCTTACAGAGCGTTAGAGAATGTTCGAGACCATTGTGGCTACAATGCCTGGGGATTTCCACACTCCGTTGGTGATGCCCCAGGAACCTGTTACCAAGCTGTGGTCCTGGCCCTGGCAGGGGTCCCTCCCCAGAGCAGGAAGCCCAGCTGGCTGGTGCCTAGCCCTTGGCTCAGCCAACCATGCCAACTGGAACTGCTCGCTGCTGCTTGTTCCGTATACTGAAGGTCCAAGTGACATGCCACTTGAAGAACAGACCTCACAGCTGGGGTGGGGGGCAAGACTTTGGAGATAATTCATCAGTATATATATACATAGTCTCCAGAAAGGGAATTTGTTTGCCTAAAATCACAAAGCTCATTCGTGGCACAGCAGGAATTCAGGGCCCATTGGGTTTCCTTTTGTTTTCTAGTCTAGGCCATAGGACTGCTGGATTTGGCTGAACCATCACAGTGATGGGAAGGCCCCATGATTTGGTCCAAAAAGAAAGGAAACTAGTAATTTGAAATCCCTGAAAGCCGAAGTCGCTGGCACACCCCCACCCCTACCCATTCTCCCCACTCCTGTGTGCTTGTCAGATCTGAGTTCCTGAGTCAGGCCACAGAGGCCAGGTGCAGCCACCTCTCCGGCCCCGCGCCTGAGCCTCACGTTCCCCTCCAGAAACTGGCCTGGACATGCTAGCTCACCACCATCTCTTCTGGCCCCTGAGTGTTCTTCCCATTGGGAAATAGCTATCAACATTTACCCCTGTCCTGACTAAAAGCCAGCTGTCAGGCCTAACTGAAATCACGGCTGATGAGTCTTTCGAATGGAAAAACAATAAGGCGCTATAATGTCCCAGTTTCTCCAAGCCACCTCCAGGCTCACAGAAGGACAGTCAGCTTCCAAGTAAGGGAATCAGGCCTCCCCTGTGGCTCTCAAAAACCACAGAAGACAGGAAGCCCCCAAGCTGCAGGAAGTTCCTCTGAGAAGGCGGACTTGGGGGATTTTAGCTCCTTCCCTGAAGGAATGCTGGGTCTGAAGACCTCCCAGAGGGCACGGCCACCAAAGTGACACTGACTGACCCGCCATCCAAAGGCACTGGGAGGGAAGGGAGGCCAGCCCAGTGGCTGCCACTGAATCAGCAATCAGGGTCTGAAGGGACAATTATTGCCAAGCATTTAGCAAGAACCAACACACTTTCAAACATACTTCTTCCTTCTGTAGAGGAAATATATTGTCTTACAGGTTCCTCACAGGTAATTTCTTGGGATGGTTTTCCTACTGTTTCTTTCCTTCCCTCCCAGTAACTAACTCTCTCTCTCTCTCTCTCTCTCTCTCTCTCTCTCTCTCNCTCGCTCGCTCGCTCTCTCACCCCCCACCCACCACTTTTCTGGCCAAAACAATACCATGAAATTATACCAACTTGGTAAACCCTAGAATTGGGCATGGCCTTTCTCGGGTTTGTGAGAAAAATGTTATATTTTTGTGTTAAAAAATGTTATATTTTTGTGTTACACTGGTGTTTCTTTGACGATGTCTGTGGGTTGTTTCCTTCCTGTGAAGACAAAATGCTTTTTTCTATAGTCACGAAGGAAACTGAGGAATGTCCAGTCAATCGTTACAGCTCAGAGTGTGTACTAATAGCCCCAGTTTCATTTCCACTCAGACTGACAGGCAACAGAACAATAAATAAATAAATGTTGTTGTTTGTCACATTGTAAGATGATAATAGTGACCAAATAAACAAATGGAGTGACCTGTCAAATTTCCCACATGTCCCGTAGGTTAGAGTTGACCGAACGCCTTCACATTCAGCCCCTTAAGTACATGTTGCAAACAGGGACACTTTTGGGCCCCATCGAACTGTGTTTCCCAAGCTAAGGCCTGACTGTCTAAGGATGTAATCTGTGGGGTCACTGACCTTTACCCACTCTCTTCCCCTCTCTGGGCCTCACGTGAATCATCTATAATGTGTTTCTGTTAACTAAAAAAAAAGAGAGAGAAAAAGGACAGGTCTCACATCCTGTGATTCGGAAATGAATCAGGTCCAGTAGCAAATCCACTTCATGAACTGCTGCCCTATAAGGCTGAATGTGGAGGGAGAGTCCGTGTAGCCGAGAGCTCGCCCAGGATGATAAAACCAGACACTGAGCACCCCACGGCTGTTCTTTCCATCCGAACCTGGAGGTGAAAAGCGTGAGCCTGTGTAAAAGCACTTTATTAACTTAAACCATGTGGAAATGTTCGCGTTGTTATAATGAATTGCCAATGACGGTAATGACGGAGTTAATTCCGGCAGTAAGCTGTTAAGGCCTCACCTACAAGTTGGCAGTAAAGTCCTTATGAAGTTTCCCTCACCCGGATTTCCAATTCGGTGCTCGATTCACCAGATTATGCAGCATTTCAAATCTGAAAATGAATTCCATGGATGAGACGCAGTCATTCACCCACGGGCCGCGCTCTCATCTTTCCCTGCACACCTGTCAGGAAGAGATCCAACCGGAAAGGCCTCCCTTACCTGGGATAAAGGGCAGTGCACCAAGGACCATGACGCCTGGCCCTCTGCCCGCAGTGCCCGCAACAGACAGCAGCGTCAGGGTACAAGGCACTGCAAGCCTCCTGGCCTCTTTTGTTCATTCTGGCTTCCAGGGATAACACTCCAAACTCTGAGTTAGAGGCATGCCTTTGTTTCCATTCCGATACAGCCAGAGAAAGAAAGCTCGCGATTCAGCAGTTTAATCAGCATATGCAAATCACTAGGCTCCCATTGGCTCCCTCCCCTGTGTGTTAGAGGCCGGAGAGAACACCGTTCGGAAAGGAGAGGATGAAAACAAATCAAGTGAGCAGTCTGCACTGCTCTGCAAAGATGTGGTTGGAAGGGTGGGAGGGATGAAGGGCCACAAACTCATTGCCATGGTTGCCCTCATGTGACATCAATCGCCACGTTTAGCTTGTGGGATGACTTTGGTTAAGCCCTGTGTCTTTGGCAGGGCTGAAAAGTGAAGAGCATGCCTTGTAAATGATAGGAGATTTTTGTGCCGTTTTTTAATGTACATACATTAATGTACACTTTTTAAGGGCAGTTTTATGAGAGTTGACGGATGCCTGGAGTAGAGTAACCACCATAGTCAGGATAGAGCAGAGCTTCAGCGGGAGCCAGAAAGCTTTGTGTCCACATACTCCCCCGACGCTGTGGCCCTGGTGACCAGTTAGTTCTTCATCCCTATACTGCTGCTTTTCACCCAGTGTCACAGAAATGGAAACCTGGCTCCATTCACTTACGTAAGGTATGACGCATTTTAGACTCATCCATGCTCTTGCGTGTATCAGTCATGTGTTCCTTTTTAGGATCTGTAAAATTCTATCGTACGATACACCAGTGTCTGTTCATCCAGTCATCAAAGGACATTTGGGCTGTTTCCAGGTGTGGGTGATTAGCAGTGAAACTGCTGGTAATATTTGCATACCTGTTTTTGTATGAAATAAGTGTACTTACTTCCTTAGGTAAATACCTAGGAATAGGATTATTATGAGTCATGTGATGAGTGTGTGTTTAATGTAATCAGGAACTGCCGAGATGTTGTACAAAGTGACCGGACCCTTTTGCATCTCCACCTGCAATGTATGAGAGCACGAGTCAGTCTGCAACCTCACCAGCACTGAGCACTGTCAGGTATCATTACTACGCCTGCCATTGCAGTTCTAACAGGTGTGTGGTGGTGCGTCACTGTGGTTTTAATTTGCATTCTCCTGATGACTAATGATGTTGAGCATTTTTTCCTGTGCTTACCTGCCGTCATAGTCTTCTGCAATGAAGTTTATCTTCTAACCTTTTGCCCAGTTTTAAATGAATTGTTTCCTTATTCCTGAGTACCCTCAATGATTTCTAAACTTACAAGTTTGTAGTAAGTGAAAGCAAAATAGCCAAGATTATTACCAGCAGAATTTGAATCAATGCTAGCACCGTAAAGCTAGATTTTCGGGAAGCTTGGATATCTACAGTTCTAGAAGGATGCTTCTCAAAGCTTAATCTGTAAATAAATCACCTGGGGACCTTGTTAAAAATGTAGATTCTGGGCTGGCTGAGTTGCTCAGTTGGTTAAGAGCTCTCTCAAGAATGCGAGCTCTGAGCAACAGCAGTTCAAGTCCCAGCCTGAGCTGAGCAGCTGCTAAACTGCCAACAGGTGGCAGGGTGGCTCAGCTAAAAAAAAAAAAAAAAGTAGATTCTGATTCTGTGGGTCTGGGTGGAGCCTGAGAATCTGTATTTCTAATAAGCTCCCAAGTGGTGCTGTTGCTGGGGGTGCCTACATCACATTTTGACTTGCAAGAGTCTAAAAGATCTTGGCTCAAATTCCTTTGTATAACCTCAAAGCGGACTAACACTCACCATGCAATTAAACCTTTCTTTTCTTCTGGAAGAAAAAAGAAACATAAAATTAATAAATATATCAAGACAGTTACATCTCTCCCTTAGGACATAATACATATGGCGAGAGTTTGAACAGACATGTCACAAAGTCCCCATACCAAATATCTCTCCCAAAATGATGCAGTCAGGTAGTTTAATTTTGCTACTAAGAAATAAATAGAGGTCTTCCCATTGAAGTCACTCCAGTGAAGAAATAGTCATATATGTCCCTTGTTAGAATCAATTATTTTTTTGTCCTCCAAACACTTTGATGAAGTCATTGGATGCAGTCAAAGCTTTGTTTTTTCCCCATAAACAATGACGTGGGAATTAGTGGGCAATACCCAGGTATCCTAGGACCTTATTTGCAAAGCCTCATACACAGAGGGCAGGAATTAGGTGGGTACCATCTAAATATTGCTTAATATTGCATCAGATATATTGGGTTGTTGGGAAAGTCACGACACATTTTTGCATTGAAAAACAGAAAAATACATCAAGACTTTCCCGAAGACCCAATAAAATAAAATGACAGTAGAAAAGTCGTTTTATTTTCCAGGTCTCTCTGAGACCTAGAAGTGCTGCTGCATTTCTTGTTTTAAAGAATCAGAACCCTACCAGCCCAGAGGAGGCAACCATCCATGATTCTGGCAAATGTACACACTTGTTTTTCATGGGTTGTATATGCTTTATCGGGTCATCAAGATGAGTCATTGAGACACCAGAACAAAGTATTAGAACTTCTATTTTCATTCACTTTTAAATTTAAAAATAAGAAAATTCCATTTGACCAATGTTGTCTATCTCAATTGGCACATGGATCTTCATTCAGTCTATCTGCCAAGAGTGGAAGATAAAGAATTCCATTTCCAACGTACATGTGAAATATCTGAGATATATTTTAAAGGAGATGTCAAGTAAGCAGTTAGGCTGCCAATCATGATCGAAGGAGGGCAGGAACCATTAACCACCAAGGTGTCAGAACACAGAGGGGCCTGGATGGATGGGCTCACTTCGATAATGGAGAAAGGTGTAAATGGGAGGGAAGTCTAGAATTTTGTAGAGGAGGAAGAACAATCAAAGGTAACTGAGAAGGGGACCAAACAGTCAAGAGAAGCAGACGTGTTCTCAGGAGAAAACGGTGTTTCAGAAAATAGTAGACAGAGTTTCCAGAAAGATTGATTAAGCATATTAAATGCTGCTGGGGATATTAGCAAAATGAGGCAGAAGATGCCTACTGGAGTTGGTTACAGGGACAGATGTCATTGGTGACCTCAGCAAGAGTGGCCGTCTCAAAAGACAACAGTGCAAACTGCAAGCATGTAGCGCCCATGCCCAAGAAAGGACATCTTCTTGTCATTCACGAAAGTTCATTTTATTTGGTGTAAAGAAATCCATGCATGGCCCCAGTGCAATTTTTGCAAACTCATGAAGTGCAAAAGCTGACAAAATGTGTTTTAAATTTGTCACCATCAATCCTGTCATCTAAAGACAAGTCCTGTAATGGTGTTGTGTGTCTACTAACTCCTGTGTTTTCTCACTTGGTAGGAGTTTATCCTCTTAATTTGTTTCACATAATTGTAATTTGATACACTGATTTTTTTCACCTCACTTTTTAACACGTTTTAAATGCTTTGTACACATCTTATACTAAAGTAAGCATACCACATAGATATTTATCCCATTTAGATTGTTTCCAACTTGAAGGTTGTTATAAATAAAGCTGAAGTGAGCATCTTTCTGTTTAAATGTTCTCCCCAATTATTTTGGATTATTTTCTTACAAAGGAATATCCATAGGGAAATTTCTAGGGGAAATGTTAGGAGCACCTTCAAACTCTAAGGATCTACTTTAAATGAACATTTGTGTGCTGTGGAATGATGAGAAGGACCCCAAGGGGATGCAGAAACAAAATAATAAACTCTTGGCAGCTTTAATTAGGCAAATTCCATGGACACCGCTTCTAATTTCCTTACTCAATTCAGAATATTACTCTTCCACCTCTTCCTCCACGGACCTATAACTTTCCTAATATTGAGCAGTAGAACATCACTGCGAGTAAAAGGAGAGAGGGGCTGAGGTAAGAGAGAGAGAAAACAACAGCAAGGAAAAGGAAAGGGAGCGGAAGGGAGGGGAAGGAAGGGAGGAGAAGGGAGAAGACCACTTGCTACTATTAATTTCAAGAAAGCCTTTGAGCCTTGTGTCACATATTGTTCTCCAAATATTCCCATTGTCAAAAGCTGAAGTGTTGGTATAGTGGATATTTACCAGTTTTGAGCTTCGCTGACAACCAGCCTCCTCTTCCTACTCCTACTATCCCCAGTCTCCGGCGTGGGAAACCCCTATCAGCTGCAGTCCTGGTGAGGGCCACTGCCTCTCACGAGACAAGGAAAAGCAACCACCGTTCTTCTCACCCTGTCTCGGGCCAATGGAAGGCTGGCACATAGATTGAGTTCAGCAAGTTTGATCTACCAAGTCTAGTGTTTGGATCTTGAGAGAGTGATGCAATCGATATGGGAACAAAGGTCATTGTCATCACCGTGGGCCTGAGTCCGACCAGCACATGTCTCTGCTGGGGCCTTGGCTGCAGTTTTTGATGGTCAGCTCTCCCTGGTGATCACGCATTTCCCGGTCTGGTCCTCCTGCCTCTAGCAACCCTACAACCCTTCAATAATGTCACCTTTCACACAAGTTAGCACAAGCCAGTGCTCGGTGCTTGTAAAGAAGTCTCTGCCTGAGCCCAGTGGGCGGGCTAGGCCTCGTTTAGGATTTTGTACCTTATCATTGTAGCAATGGGAAACTATTAATGGGTAAAGGTTGTTTCAGCACAGGACCAATTATCCAAGAGGTGATGGAGACCTGGAGAATGAATGAGAGTTTGGTAGAAAAAGAGTGGCAGTTAGGACCAGAGGGCACAAGCAAGTGAAGCCCACCCCACCCCCTGGGTGGTAAGAGGCAGAAAGAAGGCTGCTCTGAGTGGCTGGCATCAGGAGCGAGGCCATGAGGGCATCCTCACTTCTGCGTCATAACAGGCTATAGACAACAGGACAGTAAGGAAAGGGACGGGAAGGCTGTCACGGTATATTTCTGGAAGCAGTTACAAGGACAGATGAGGATGCCAGGAGACACAAGTGGTGCAGCTTCTGTGTACACTCCAAGGTTGTGTTTCGTCCAGATGACGGGGCCACAGAGAATGACCAATTTGATAGTAATCTGTTCTTCTGACAGCTCCTGACCCCTCAGTGCTTGTCTCCCACATGATAGAAAAAAAGCCACCCCAGCACACAGCCACCTCTCCCGCCCCCGAGAAGACTGTCCTAACCCTCAGTGGTAAGATCCACCTGCAAGTCTGGTTAGAAACGGAGCTCCCAGCTCTGCCTCTGGGGTCCTGACCCAGAGGGTCAGCGGTGGGACCTGAGAACGGTCTATAACAAGTTCGTCCGTATGATTCTTCTCAG